TAGATTCTTATCAATGAACTCCTACAAGGCTTCCAACTCTGGGTGTCATAGCATACATTTTCTTCCTTGGAAATTTAGCCCCAGGCTCAATTTCTATAGCACAGTCACTGGTGCGATGGGGGGGGTAGCTGATCTGACTCCCGTTCGCTAAACACCTCCTGCAGGTTGCGGTATTGCTTAGGAATGTGATTTGCAGCCTCCACTGCCCTTTCTCCACTCACAGTGCCCATCTGACAACGTCTTGGTAATTCCTTCAACTTCCACTCCCCCCTCCTTCGGGAAACGCAAGATCTTTTCCTCCCAGTTTACTTCTGGGTTCTTCCGTTTTAACCAGTTCATGCCCAGAAGCATTGGGTTGCATGCCATGGGAGTTACTAGGAATTTAATAGTCTCTCTATGGTCTCCCATAGTTAGCTCGAGCTCTTCAGTATGATATTCCACCGGCCCTCCCGCCACTGGGGATCTGTCCAGCTGGGTAAAAATCACAGGGGTTTTGAGTCTCTTTAAGCGCAGTCCCAAACCTCGGGCGAGGGCGGGATTAATCAAATTTCGAGAGCGGCCAGAGTCTATCAGCACCCGTATCTCCACCCTTCGATTTGTCCTCACCACCCTTAGTTCCACCCAAATTTTAATGGGACTCACCCCCATCTCTTCGCTCTCCGAGTCCTCCCGTGAACTGCTTTCTTTCTCTGGAAGAGCAGTCGCCTGTCGGAGAGAGAGCGGAGCTAACAACTTCCGGGTTTTGCCGTCGCCGCGTGTTGCCGCTCTAGCTCCTGCCTCGCTGCCTACTGCCGCCGACTCCTTCTTGCTGGGCTTCGAAGACTTCGAAGACTTCGGCCCCTTCTGCTCCATCTTCTTGCCTCCTTGCTCCGTCTTCGCTTTAGGGCACGCTGCGGCAAAGTGCCTCGGCTCCCCGCAGTTGAAACAGACGCGATGGCTCCGGCCACTTTCCGGCGCGCTGGTCTTCGCCTTGGGTGCCGCCTTCTTTGTTCCAGGTAAGGGCGGAAGTTGGGTTCTTGCTTCTATGGTGCGCCATTGCTCCTCCACCTCGCCTGCCATAGCGACCCATCCATTAAAGATTTTGGAGTAACCCCGGCACATCGCGCTGCAACAATTCGGGTTGCAAGCCTCTCTGGAAGAACTCAATTAGGAGCTCTTCAGGCACATTAGGCAGCCTCTGAGCCAAACCCCGAAATTCGTAGGCGAACTCGGACACCGACTTGGACCCCTGCTTCAGCCTTTCCAGTCGCATCATGCTTTTAGCGCCACACACGGGTCTTCAAAGCGCACGCAGAGAGCCGCCATGAAATCCTCTAATCTCCTTAAAGCCCGATCCTTCGCCCTGTGCAGGCCAACCACCCATTCCGCTGCTGTGGC